AAGTCAATTGGGTGTGATGCTCTGATTTCTCTCGGGCGTCCAGTTCAAAATGGCACCTGCTATTTTTTTTTATTTTTATTTTTCCAGATTTTATTAATTTATTTTTAGTTTGCAACATTCACTTCCACAAGATTTTGAGTTCCAAATTTTCTCCCCATCTCGTCCTTCCCCCACCCCAAGATGGCATGTATTCTGAATACCCCTTCCCCTAATATGCCCTCCCTTCTATGTCCCCCCACTCTCTTATCCCCTTCCCCTTCTATTTTCCTATAGGACAGGATAGATTTCTATACCCTACACCTGCTGCTTTTTAAAAAAATGTAAAATAAACTGCCTGGGAGGGATTCAGAAAAGCTGGAATGACATCACCTCTAATGCTTACTACATGTGTCTTTCTGACCATGGGTGAGCTAACAAACTTCCCCTGTTTCCCCCTGTGTAAAATGAAGGGGTTAAACTAGATGGCATTTGAGATCCCTTCCAGCTCTAGACCTAAGATCCTGTGTGTGACCTGGGACAAATCACTTCCCTTCCCTGGGCCTCAGTTTCCTTAACTGTTAAAAAGAGTGTGTGGGCAGTAACAGCCACAATGTGTGATGACTAACTTTGACAGACTCATCTCCTCTCAGCAATGCAAGGATCCAAGACAACTCCAAAGGACTCTTGATGGAAAATGCTGTCTACATCCAGAAAAAGAACTATGGAGTCTGAATGGAGATCGAAGCACATTATTTGCTCTCTCTCTCTTTTTTTTTAATTTCTTCTTTCTTGTGGTTTCTGCCATTGGTTCTAATTCTTCTATACATTACGACTAATGTGAAAATAGGTTCAATATGAATGTATATGTAGAGCTTATATCAGACTGCAGGCCATATTAGGGGGGGAGGAGGGGAGAGATGGTGAGAAAATTTGGAACTCAAAATCTTATGGAAGAGAATGTGGAAAACTAAAAATTAATTAATTAAAAGAATTGAAAAAAAAAAAAGAGTGTGTGGGAGTGGTGGACTAGATGGCCTAAGGCCTCTTGCAATTCTAGATCCATTTGGATCAAGGTTGGTCCTAGAGAAGAGTTGAGCAAATGTGACTCCTCTTGTTTGCAGATGTTGGGGCACTATGGATGTGCAATGTGGACTTTGCTTTGCTTGACTTTGCACATTTGGTACAAGGGCTATTTTTTTTCTTTTTTCAATTTGGAGGGGAAGGTGGAAAAGAAAAAGGTTGGAATAGGGTTGCCAAAAGACAAAGAAAGAAAAGAGGGTCATTGAAGCCTTTTTAAATCACAGAAAGAACCACAGACAAGTAGCTTTTCAAGTTGTGTATCCAATTTGCTATATACTGGGAAAAGAAAAAAAACAATCTGATAGGCATTTGCACTTTCGTAGCCAATCTTTTTTTTCTGTTCTACTTTTGTGTGTGTGTGAAGCAATTAGGGTTAAGTAACTTGCCTAGGGTCATACAGCTAGTGTCAAGTGTCTGAGGCCAGATTTGAATTCAGGTCCTCTTGACTCCAGGGCTAGTGCTCTATCCACTGCACCACCTAGCTGCCCCCTCTGTTCTACTTTTAATGTGGAAGTCCTCATTTTATTTGGTATTGAAGTTCAGAATTTAAAAAGGTTTTAAAAAGAGAAAAGAAATGAGGGTCATATAAAAACAAAAGTCATCAATATTGCTGGTTCCAGAGTAGTATAACCCCACTGAATGGGGTTTCTGCACTTCTAAGAGCAGTGTGTGCTTTTAGCTACAAATTCTCCATTCTGGATGTTTTCTTTGCCTCTTTATGACTGAGCTAGTGAATAACAGACTGGCAGAACACTGAAACCTAAGTGCATGGAGTCAGAAGACGTGGGTTCCTCTCCTAGCAGTGTGACTTTACCTCTCTAAGCCCTAATTGGCTCTTCTACAAAATGGAGGCATGGGACCAAATGATCTCCAAGGGACAGAAGGCCAGCCAGAGTCACAAGCAGAACAGCTCTGCAAACAATGTGTTGGATTTATTACTTATAAAAATGCAACAGTATATATAACAGATTTGTGATTTCCTGTATATTCTTTTCTGATCTTTCTATATGGAAATGTTCGTGTGTGCATGACTGTCAAGTTCAGAGGAATAAAAAGAAAAAAATTGTTTTTAAAATATCTCTGAGGTTCCTCAAACCATTCTTTATTTCATCGTTTTTGTCTTGATCTCTGCCCCTTCATCAGGAGTGAAGACTTTTAAATACCTCAAAGCTTTTATGGCTTCTACCATCGAACAAATAACTTGAGAAGATGCAAACTTGTGTTACTTGGACAACTTTGCCCTCGATGATATCATGACTTGTGTGTAAGACGTGACACGAGAAATCCCTGGGGTGTATAATCAGAACAGGGTCATCAGTCCCCTACTTGCAGAGGTATGGTACCCCTTGCTAGGGGTATGGAGCGTTGCAGAAATTGTCAGACATGGTTGATCCATTAACCCGGTTATATCTGTTGAACTTGTTTTTTGCTCTTCTTTGGGGGGGGGATTGTTTTTGTTATGTGACTGGCTGGATATATTCAGAAATTAGGGGGAAGTATATAAAAACAGAAGATAGTAATAAAAATAAGATTTTTCAAGGAGGTGAACTGGTAATGGAGCAAGATGGTAACAGGACAGGCTGAGTTCTGGACTGGCCCTCACCCAATCTAGAAGGCCCGGAGAAAGGCTGCCAACACATTAGGCAGTGCCCAGATGGAGGCTTTACATGAACCAGAGATGAACAGGATCAGGCATGGATGGAAGGGCTGCTATCTGTACCACTGGAGGAAATACCCACATCGATGACATCTCAGACCCGTTGAGGTGTTAAAGCATAATATTAAGCTACGTTATCAGACAAGAAATATCAAGGGAGATCAGGAAAAGTACGGGCCAGTTCAGCTCGGAAGACTGTCACTTACTGGCCATAACCTTTGAGGAGTTACCATTCCCCTTTCTTAGCCTTAGTTTCTTAGCTAACAATAAAATGGAAACACTGCTACCAGTGTGCTGCATATCTTTAAGTTGGTTAGGCTTCCCTAAGGAAATGGAAGTAATCCACTTTAGAATTGTAAAGCACCAGATAAATGTGCTAAGGTTGCTAGGGTGAGTGCTATAAGGCAGTCAGTCAGAAGACCAGTTCTATTTGCACTATCTATCCCCAAGTGAGTTGTAAGCTCCCTGAGGGAAAACAGCATCTTTTTTTTTTTTTTGTATAGGTACTTCCCAACATCTGGACCCAAGGCTCGGAGAACAGAGGACACTCTTCAGTGTTCCCTGATGGGCAACTAACTGGTTGGATGCTGCCCACCTGAAATGAGTAGAGCTTTCAGGCTAAAGTGTATGAAGGGATCATGGGCTCAGAGATCTTGGGCTGGATGGGGTCTTGGAGGTCCAGTCCAAACCCATCACTTTACAGATGAAGGAATGGAAGGCCTGAGAAATGAAGTGATTTGTCCAGGGTCAAACAGCTAGTGTCTGAGGCAGGATTTGAACTCAGGTCCTCGACTCCACAGGCAGCTAGATGGTGCAATGAGGATAGAATGCTGGACCTGAAGTCAGGAAGACATCTTCCTAAGTTCAAATCCAGCCTCAGACACTAGTCATGTGACCCTGGCCAAGTCACTTCACCCTGTTTGTCTCAGTCTCCCCATCTGTAAAATGAGCTGGAGAAGGAAGTGGCAA